TTCCAGGAAAAGAGCAATTGCCTCATGACAAGTCTAAGCTCCAAATTTCATAGACCCAAGCAGTTTTACAAATTCTCACCCAGGTCGAAACCCTCAGTGCACTCACGCTCACAGGACATGTGCCAAAATGCCTCTTTGTGAGGGGAGGGGAAATTATCATCTGAAAGCCCCTCTCTGGACTCCCAATGGACCACCCCTCTCAGGGGAACCTTGACTTGGAGTCAAGGATAGCCTCCCCTCCGGTTGCATCCAATTTTAACCGAACACAACTAACGTGAGCATAATTCATCCAGTACAGGTGGTCTGACTAATCAGAGAGTCCCAATGAGCCATCAGGGTCAGGCTTAAAAGCTGATCTGTGATGGCCAGGGTTCTAGAAATTTCCGACAGCTACCCCACTACCCAGAGATCATCACTGCAGGTTCACTGACCTCTGAAGGTCACTTTTAGATATTCTTTCCCTAAAGTCAGACGTAGTTTGTTGAAAATTAAATACAGCTTCTTCCCCCATAAGTATACCCAAGTCAAAACAGTTTTATCAGATAATTTCCTAAGAGCAAGCTTCTGCTGAAAGGAGTTTTTGTTGTCACAAGAGAGTGACTTGGTTTCCCAAGAGACCAACAGTTTTCCCAGAGGCTTCCTTGCTGGTCATTTTCAATGTACAAATACTAGCTCAAAAGCAGACCTTTTAAAAAAAGTAACTCCCTTCCTTTCCTAGTCTTTTAACAAGAAAGACTCCTGCAAAGTAGAAACGCAGGGTGTTGTAATTCTCATGAATTCTCAGTAAGCACTTGCAGGAGGCACCCTCAGCCCCGATATCAGGACAACTTACCGACAGGAAGGTGACCCGTGCTTGTCATGGAGATCTGGGCCCGACAGAACGTCTTGCTGTCCAACAGATCTGCAGCAATGAAATGATAAATGACATTAAGAGCCCCTTCCTTACCGCATAACTTTGCAGCTGTTAGAAGACAGAATAAGCAGAATGTCGAAGGCCCGTAAGTGTTGGGGAGTTAGTTACCTACTGTGCTACCATAGTTGATGCCATATAAATAGTTTTCTTCTTTCCATGTGTTCATGATGGAAGGGTCTACAAAAGACAGAAAATGGGGATGGTCAGCAATCACCTTTCCCTGGGTGATGAGTTTGCCCTTTCTAACTCACTGCCCATCAGAGAGGTGCTAGGCCTCGTGGGTGGTCCTCAGAGAGAAAGGATAAGATTGGACTTCTACCACGTGCTACTTTATAAGAATGTTAACTCCTTTTTCTTCCAGCGTCCTAACGGAAATGGGCTTTGTTATGGCCCCAACTCTGTGTGTTCTACACCTGCTTCCTCTTTCGGGCAGTGAGGGAATACTGTAGTGAGACCCTGTCCTAGGCCCATGCTTTGGCTTTCTGGGAATTTTCCCATAGCAGGGGGTGGGCTCAGGAGCCTGGCATCGTCTTGCATGCTACTGTATAATCACCAGAATATTTTTACATTGGAAAAAGAAATTGTTACGGACAAATAATTCCTAATTAATGAGTGTCGTTTCCTAGAAATATCTTCCCGGGAGAATTAATGTTTCTTTCAGGAAAGTCTAGTCATTCTTTATCACGGCGTCTTCATGGCTAAAATTCCAGAAGCTCCCCTTCCAGTTGGGTGACAGCCCCCTCCCTTCAGGATTTCTCCAATTAATGTAAGGGGTGACACAAAATTCTCAAAATAAAACAGAGGAGAAGGAGAAGAGAGTGTCACCAAATCAAGCAAACAACTTTTCAGAGTGAGGTCCCATTGCCTCGTCTCTGAGAAGAAGTGCGCTCCCTCTGCCCCCCACCCCACCCCTGCAGCGTGCTGGGTAAGCATGTCTGACTCTTCGGATGTCGGATTCAGAGGAAACTGCCGTCCACCTACCCCAAACAAAGCCCCACTCCTACACAACCCCCACGTCTGGGCTGACCTCCAACAGAAGCATTTTCTTTCCCGGCCAAGAGCTGTGAGACCTGGCAGGAGCTCTCACCTCGTCCCCACCGGGAACTTCCTGCCTTTCCCCCTCCTCACAGACGGAGGCTGCCCTCAGCTCCCCCGCTGTCTGCGTTCTGAATTTCAGGGTCAGCGAGGTAAGCCAATGGCCGAGTTTCATTTTGTTTTTATAGCATAAATAGTATAAAACCTGACTCACTGGCTAAGTCCTCCTGTTTGCGACATAGGGATTTAGCTGGTATTTTAACTAATAGCTACGTGTTTGGGCACCCCAAGCCCAATCTCTTGGGGTTACACCCTCTCTCCCCGTTGGGTCACCTCATACACCTGTTGTTGTCTCTGAAAACAAACTGAACCGAAAAGGTTTGGGGGATGTTGGCCCCTCTAAGAGCCTCTTCTCCCCTCCTCCTAGGGTGGACCTACTTCTCCACCCCTTGGCTCAGCTTTTCGGAACTGGCAACACGAGAATGTCTGGATGGTCAAGGAGGAATTACCGAGTTATTTGGGCCCTCTCCAATACCAGCTGGCTCCTCCAGTGGGGCTATCTGTCAGGTCCTGGTGGGAGTGGGGGTGGAGCCCCAGCCTCTGGGCCAAGTCCTGTGTCTGCCTCTAGGGCAGTCAGGCCCAGAGACACAGGCCCATCCGGGCAACCCCTGGCCTCTTTGGGGTTGGGGGGAAGGGCAAGGCTAGGAAGACCGAGTTAACATGCTTAGCAGCTATTGCTTTTTCTTTAATAATGGTGACTAGCCCCTTATAAAAGAGTAAATAACTGCATGGGGCCAATTTCAGCCCCTAGCAACTCACAAATCACCCTGGGTCAAATTCTGTCCTTGGTGACTGGCACGCAAGCCTCAGGAAGGCCCGTGGCAACCTCGGCCATCCCACGTGGCTCACAATCTCACTGCTGTGGATGTGGGGAGTGACCCTGGAGCAGCGTTGACTGCCTGGTTTTCTCAAAGCCAGGGGACTCTGGGGGACTTGCATAGCTCTCCCTGGACTGAGAGGTCATAGGCCAAAGGTCAATATACAAGGAGCTCTGATGGGTGTGAGACCCTGGGGTACATTTCTCCAGGCAGTTACTGCCTGCCTCCCGCCCCCCCCCACCCCACCCCACAAGTCCACTGGGTCCCCAGGAGAAAGATTTGGGACAGAGAAAGGAGGACTCATTGGACCAGGGAAGGAGAACAAAAAATAAACGTAGATCCTATGAGACTGCAGACCCTACTCAGAGCCCAGAATAGTGTCATTTGTCTAAAAGTGCACTTGAGGCAGGGAGTGGGTTCCACAGCTGCTTTTGGATGTCCCCCAAGCCCTCCAGAAGCTACAGTAACTACAACAGCGAGTCTGTAGCTTCCTCCTTTTTGTGAAATGCACTCCCCCTGAGGGAGGAGCAGGGAGGAGACACTGAACCTTTCCCTTCTCTCCCCTTGCTTCTCCTAACTTGGCCCAGCCCAAGGCCCTGACTCTCTTCGTGTGAGAAGGAGGCCCACCCAGACTCTGCATTTTCCCCAGCTCCTGGACCCGAGCCTGGATGATGCCCTAACCAGCAGCGAGAGGCACAGAAGTGTGGACAGCTTCAATCTAGATTGGAAATAGTTGGCAGTCCCTGGTCCCCAAGGCAAGGAACAAGACTCACGGTGGGGTGGTCCATTGGAGACAGCCAGGGAAGAGGCGTCCCTTGGCTTTGTGCCAAAGCACTGGATTTGTCCTGCTCCCACACTTTCCTGACGCCCTCCCAGTTGTCCTCCCCCGGGCTTGGACTCCCAAATTGGCTCCCTTTTTCTGCTGCTCCTCACCAGTTTGTTCTGTCTTGACAATGACATTGTGTGTGGACTGGAACAGGTCGCTGCTGCACTGGCCTGTGGAGGACAGATTGGGGAAGTCAGAGCCAGCCCACATGGAGCCAGAACTTAAACAAGTCCCAAAAGCTTCAACCGGGACGGAGCTGGCTTCTAGGGAGAGCTTCTGCCCGTCCTGCCGTCTGTCCACCTCTGAGTGTTTAGGCCAGGGGGCTTCCCTCTCAGTGTCTACAAACTGGGGCCTGGAGTCCCTGGCCCGGAAAAGCAGGAGCTGGGGCATCTACATCCAATGCAATGGTTTGGCCTTGTAGAGGGAAGCCATCCCAGGATGGTGGAAATAGAACTTAAGAAGTCAGAAGGCCAGTTTTCCCACTGATGCCTGGCCTTTCCAGCTCTTGGTTAACTCGTCTGTAAATGGAGGGGATTAAACCAGATAAAGTCAGTCAATGGCCTCTAAACTGCTTTCCCTTACTGACTTAGGATACAGGACGAAAAACGAAAATCCCGGAGAAACCATTTTCACCAGTTTGATTCTTCTTTGATCTTAAATGTAATCAGACCCATTTTGATTAGATCCAATCTGAGATCCATCCAGATAAATGGAATAATTCTCCTCTTTTTTTATGCCTTGCAACTCCTCTCTTGGTTATATATATATATGTGTGTGTATATATATATACACATATATATATGATATTTATATATCAAATATAAAAGCATATATACACACATACACATATGAATGCGTTTAGTATGTTTTTCCTCCCCAGCCAGGTTATAAATATCTCAGGAGCAGAGGTCGTACCTTTAACCTCTCTGACCTTCGGGTTTCCCATCTGTAAAATGGGTACATGTTTATTTTTTCATAAGGTCATTAAATGAATCAATTTACTTACAGTGTCCAGTATAAATAAACACTCAGTGAATATAAGCTAATAGAATGTCTACAAAAAGGCAAACAATGAAACAAAGGAGAGAAATCTGGTCATTAGGCACTCAGAGTCACCGACAGCATGCATTAGGGCCAAAGAAGTTACGAAAGGTCAAAGACAGAAGGTCAAAGATGGCCACCACCCCTTTGCTCTCTGCCTCCCAAGCCTTTCTGCCTCAGGCTTCAATCAGGGCAAAGCTTTAAAGGAGTGGATCTAATTGAAGGTAGGGAGGTAAATATATTTACATCTTCAAGTGTAAGTCTGCTCCTTCTGAAGACTCCTGGGGGTTATTTATAGAGCTTTGTTTGGTTTGGTTCTAGTAAAGAAAAATGAGCAACCATCTCTGTGAGGCGGATGGGAAGAAGGGAGTGCCTGGGAGCTGAATGAGGTCATCCAAAATGGCCACGCCAGCTGCCAGCTTCAGGCCAGACCCTGGGTCCTCCTCAGCGTTGATGCAACTGTCAGGGTCTGAATCTGGTTCATAGACCAGGACCTCCTGCTTCCCGAAGTTCCAGCCACCTGCCCAAACACTGGTTCTGCTGAGACAGACATGCCCATTCTGACGTGGACAGGCCAGCTCACTATCCCTATGTAATATTACTGTCTCCCAAGATGCCCGCAGCTCCCAGAAGAACTTTTTTTACCAGCATTGTCAGGAGAACTTTAGGTCAGTGTCAAAGACATTCTGCAAGCCAGGTTGTTTGCCCTATCGTGTCTTAGAAGCCAGGAGGGAACGTGCGTGAAGAGACTCACCGATGGAGAGCTTGCCTCTGCTCTAGGTGGGGCCTCAAGAGAGACACATTCGGGGCCCTAGGGCAGCACTAATTCCAGAAATCACTGCAGAAACATCCCACACGTGTCCAGACCATTAGTTCTAACCCTTTCTCTCTCTCTCTTTTTTTGAGTTCTTGACTTTTCAAGAATCTGTTGAAATATTGGGAGCCTTCTCTTCCCCAAAACAAACATAGACCTAATTAATTCTCCATCACTTCTTACCACGCCACGTGTAGGTCCCATCTTAAGAACGTCGGTCTAGAAGTTTAAAGAAAAGAAAAAGGACCCATGCTGATCTTAATAAGCAAGTGATCGGGAGTTAGGCTATCCCAACATGTTTGTGGGGGTGGAGAGGGGAGAAGAAAAGGTTTTCTGAGAGCAAGTCTTCTGTGAATACCCAGCGAGCCTTTGTCTCCTTAAAAATTAACCAGAAGGAGAAATGCAATTACCTTGGGTTCCTGTAGGATTGGACACGCCTGGAACCCCAGACTCGTGCCTGTTCTCTCGCCTCCTCTCTCCTTCCCTCCCTCGGGAAACAGTAATTCGGAGGTGAGACCCCCCCCCTTTGGAAGTCCCAGACAAGGAATCTCCCAGCAGGGTAGAGAGAGATAATCACCATTCCACTTGAGATGCTGCAGGTTGCTGTAGAGAAGCTGACCCGCCGTCCCCGCCGCCCGTGTGAACTCCTGCAGACTCATGCTGCAGAGGTGCTCGCCATTGACATCGAACTCCTGGAAAGGGATGCAGCTGGCATCCAGCTGGTTGGTGTCCAGGAGGTGCTGGAGCCACTCCCACACCTGGTACTTGGTCCAGTACTGAGGATGGATTTCATGCCACTGGCCTCCAAAAAACCCGCTGGAAACTGAAAAACAGGAGGGACCCATGTCCCATGAGCGACCTGTGGTTCTTCCGGGACATAATCTCAGACATGGGAGGCACCGCTTAGCTGCCAGGTGTCGGAACAACTGCAGCCGGTGGACGTCAGCGTGGGGTTGGAGTAGGAGACAGGCTCTAGAGAGGAGGCTCAGAAATGTGCCTCCCTGCCTCTTTACGTCCTCCTTAGAACAGTACTTATCCCTGGGCGCTTCATGAGGACACAGACCTGAAATGCTCTGAGATCATGAGCGCATCCCCGCCTCCTGCAAAGTACCATGAAGACTAACGCATCACTATGTGTCATCAACTTATTAGCCTATTGTCCACTCCCACACAGTTCCCTTCCTCTCTTTTCTCTCTCCCATTTTTAACTCTCTCTTACACACACACACACACACATACATAAGCCCAAATTCAGACCATTTTCAACCAAAACTGAGGCATGAGGGTAAGATTCTTTTTCTCTATGATGTCTTTTCTCCTCTCCAGAGTGGTCCAGCTTAGCTGCCTGCTAACTGTGCTGATCTACCCCAGCCCCACACTGGTTATTACAGCTGCTATGACTCATTTCCCTACTCAGCTACCTTCAGGAGCTTCCCATTATTCACGGAAATTAGCTACAGAATCGCCAAGCCAGGCATTGAGGCTCTTCAGTAACTATTATCCAAGTGACCCCATCACTTCTGCCTTTTTTCTCTGGTGTTCTTTCAGTCTGGTTTGTATCCTGCCAGTCATTCCCTGTTGAATACTTACCCAGCTTGCAGACTCTGGCCACCCCATAAAGCCATCACAGACCACCCCCCCAAATAATATTATTATTCAGGGCTTGATGTCCCCTGAATCTCCAACAGACGTGTTTGGTACTTCTCCTAATGGCTTTTGTCATGTTCTGCTTTACTTTACACATCTCTAGGTTCTGTCTTATTCTCCTTTTTAAATTGTAAACTCAAGGTCATGGAGCCATAGTCATCTTTGCATCTCCTACAAAAATGACCTCAGACACTATGCCATCGTAGGTACTCTCCGTATATTTCTTTGGTGGAATTTGTTCCTGAAGAAGAGATAATGTAGCAATCTAGAAGAGTTTGAGGTACATTCACAAGATGGTTAAATTAAATATCAGTGAAGAAGTCAAGTTCACCCAAGCCAATAAATATTGCTGAACTGGATGGGCTGAACTTCTACGTATGTGACTCTCCTGTGCTCACTTCAGAGAACATCACAAAGTCAGCCCAAAGTCCTGGGAGGAGATGGAGACGAGAGAGCCATCCTCTGGGGACATGGTAATGAGGCTGAGATCTTACAGTCCCCTTGAAAACAGAGGTCAAAGGGAGGAACTCTCATCCAGGAAAGATGAGGGGCAGGGACAAGGGGAAGACACGACTGAAGCCCAGCAAGCTGAAGCAGGGAAATCCAACTGAACATGACATACAGATATTTCCACAAACTGAATAATGGACCAACAGGAGAAAACAGAGTGCAAGAAAACTGTCCCTATTTTTTTTTTTCTTGGAAGTCATGTTAGATCAGTACTTCTCAAACTCTAATGTGATTGTCAATCACCAGGGAATGTTGTTCAAATGCAGATTCAAATTCCATAGATCTGGGGTGAGGCCTGAGTTTCTGCATTCCTGACAAGCTTCCACATGATGATGATGATGATGATGATAATGATAATGATAATGATGATGATGATGGTCCATGAATACAGTTTGAATGGCAAGGAGCTAAAGAGCTCCAAAGGTTTGAGTCCCATAATGGCTCTTACCTAGCCTCAACACCCCCAGAGAGGCTGAATGGGGAATGTTTCCAACCCAGTCCCACTTGTGCTCACCCCCTCTGAATCCATCCCCTGCTTCCAGACCCCAGGAGCACCAACAGCAGGAGATGGACGTCATTATAGGCGCAAAGGTGAGTGCCATGGGTCACAACTACCACTCACAGTGTGTGCTTCACTCCTCATACATCGTGGCCAGACAAAAGCAGCCCTAAACCCTCTGCGTAGGGCCTGGAGGGGAAGCCAATTGTGGTGGGGAACAGGGGCAAGGATTGGAACAATCTAGTCCAAAAATTTCATTACACAGAAATATTCCCAAATATACAAACACATGGAATTTAGACTGGATATTTCCGTGTCCCTCCAATTTTTTGGTGTCTCACAAAAAGAGCTGTTTAAGGATGGAATATATTTCTGTGGCTCCCTGAGGCTTTGATCTTTTTTTCCAAAATAATGACATGACTATGACAGTATAGCTCTGAGTTTGCCAACAAGAGACCATAACTCTCAATACCCTGACAACAAGCCTCTCTAATTCCTCTCCCAACTTCACATGATCCAGACTAAAGGACAGTTCCCAATACTGTATCCTGAGAACTTGGGAGAACCAGAGGATTTTGTCTCAAGTCGACTAGGGGATTCTCCCATCTGCCGGGGGACTCATCGGATTCCCAAAGTTTTAGGAGAAGACATGAAAATCCTACGAGGTCAGCTCTTGTCTATTGATCAACTGACCTCCCTTGCCCCATCAATCATGATCAGGAGCTGGGCCTTCTTTGGGGCCTCTGGAAGTTAAAACATACCAGTGGCACCCAAATTCTACTCCCTGCTAAACACACTGCCCCAGCTTTCTTCAAAGCACACAGGAGAAATGCTGCCATGATCCAGGGCCCAGACTGGGGACGCCGAAGGCTTTCCAGTCTGAAGAAACTTCCTACCCTATTTGGAACCCTCCTTTGAGGTCCTCACAAGGAATCCGAGGCCTGCCACAGAAAAGTTCACTGCCCAGAAAGGACAGCAATTTTGTGATAGGTGACCAGGGAAGATCACCTGACCATGCTTCCCAGCCTTGTTTGACTGGGGTTCCAGACTGAAAGGAGGTGGAGCTGCACTTGCTCGTTGGAGAATACAACCTTCCATTATCCTCCACCTCCTGCTTTGCAGACTCTGCTTACCGACAAGCCACCTTCCTTTCTCAGGAGAAGCAAGAGCAGCTTGGCCTCTTGCAAGGAGATTAGCAGCAAGTATAGGGCAGGAGAAGGCCTAGAGCTCCTTAAACCCACCACAGTCTGATGCACAGCAGTCTACCTAGACCTAATGCCTTCACGGTGGGATGTGGGGCCTGATTCGGCAATATCTGAATTCTGTTTGCTTCTACAGTAAGCAGTGGGCTTGATCCCCAAACCCTCTACTGAGCCCCAGCAGCAGGCCCTCCCTTTTCTGATCAAGAGCTCTAAATTAAAGCACCTAAGGGAGGCACATGGTCTCCTAAAAAATCTCTCCCTTTGAAACAGAAAGAATAAGCTGCTATAAGCCTGTCTTCCTTAAGTTCCATGCTTCTGCACAACACACACACACATACACACACACACACACACACACCTTTCTCGATATCCTGTCTTAATATCCCAGCCAAACGCTGTTAAAAGCATCAACAGGTGGCCTTCCCTTTGGGCATATCTTCTAGCACTTTCTCTGCCAGGCTGCCTTGAATATTGGGAAGAAACAATGGAAAATCTCCAAAGGGCTTCTGTCTGGAGCCCCAAGAGCCCGTCGGGACCTCCAGCATGAAGTGCTCTCCATTTTCCCTCGTCCCCACACACCTGCTGAATAAAACCTGTATTTTTCAAACATGAAGTTGGGAAACGAAGCCCAGTTAAAGCAGAGGGAAAAGCCCTGGGGCGGGTGGGGGGTAGGGACACTGACACCTATTTGGTCCCCTTACCGTTGCACGTGGGGTAGCTGTCTGTCCAGGCTGGCTGCTGGTGGAGGAGACTGTTGCTGGGGTTGAGATTCATTACACCACTTCCTTCCAGAATCATGATCTGTAAGGGGATCAAACAGTTCGCTCAGTCAGGGCCTCCTGGACGAATGTCATTTGAGAGCACAGATCATAGAGTTAATTCGGAAAGAAAAAGAAGGAAAAAAAAAGAATTTGTTCTTCCATCCATTACCTCCAAAGCATGTTACCATAGCGCTTTCAGTAAAAGCAAAACTTACTGGCAATTAAAAATTTCCAGGTTCAACTTTCATATGCATGAGGCAAGTTTTTACAGCCACCCATTCATAAATGAATAATCTCTGATCAGGAATGAAGCAGGAGGAAAATGCAATATCTGCTCACAGGGCGAGTCTGGCCAGCAGCCATGAGTTTTTTTTTCTTTTTTATAAAAGTGAAAATGCCAAAGAGATTTTGTGTAAAGTGGAATTGCAATCAATAAAAATCCAAGCCAGTAGCGGCCAACCCCCGGAATCTGTGCAGGAACTCGGATCTGAAATCAGGCGTTCACAATTCCCCACAACAGAGTGGCCCTGCACTCAGACACCTAGCCAAGCTTCCTTAGTGCAGACATCAGCCACAGTCCATGGCCACGGCCACATCTCAGAGGACTTCAGTCCTATGTTCCTAAAGCACCTCCAGTATCTGGCTCCATGATAACATCAGGGATCAGTCAGTTTCTCGGACAAGACCCTGCCCCTCTCCTTCCTTCCTGGTAAAAATTCTGACAAGATTTCTCTCTCCTTTCGGAGCCCCGGAGAATACCAGAGGCTTCGAAGCCAACCTGAAGGTGACTTTCTCCTCTCATTTTCTCAGGAAAAGACACGGGGGAAGACCCTTTCTCACATGGGACTGTTTGGATTTTTTGAAACAACGTAAAAATGTTACACTTTAGAAATAGTCACCTCCACCCTCCAGCGTTTATATTGTTCCCGACCCTGAGGCTGGCCACCCTCCTCCTTTCAGACTCAAGCCCTAGAAGTGTGTTCCATCATTCAAAAGAAGAGTTGCCTATTTCCAGGAGGCGATTGAGCATCCCCTGGGGCCTGTAAAGATAACTTGCTCTTTCTAAAATGTTGGGATGGGGAGAGGAGGTAACCTTATAACAGCAGCTCATGGAAATTTTTCTGCCTGTTTTGGGGAAATCTTGTATCCCTGGGTGTCCCCAGGATTGAAATTGGTCAAGCAGAGCACGTCCAGCCTCCAAACCCCGCCCTCTAACTTAGCTCCTATTTCTCTGGTTCTAGGTAGGGCTTCAGAGGGGAGAAGAGGGGTCTGGAAGAGGCATAAACATTCATTCGTGTATTGATTTATTCAACAAATATTTACCCCCCCCTACAATGGGCTGGGTACTGTTGTTGGGACCGGGGACAGAGCAGGGACTAGGAGTCAAGCTAGGCCCAACAGGACATTTGTGATGATTATTAACATCATCATGGTTGTTTGGCTAATAATTAGGCCTGAATCCAGCCTAAATAGAAAGTAGAGAAGGAAAGATAGGACCCCAGCAGACCACGGGCGGGGAAGAGGGCAGAGACGGGTTCTGTGTTGTGGAACCATATATGAGCTTCAAAGCCAGAAAGAGCCGGCTCGATTCCAAGCTCTACCCCTTACCAGCTGGTTAGTATTAACTCAGACAAGTCACTACCATCTCTGAACCTGCTTCCTCACATACAGAATGCAAGTCACCATACCTGCTGTGTGCGTTGGTTGGAGGTTAAATGAGTTTCTATACCTGGGGCGCTCCGCACGAAGTGAGGTATATGGCAGGTGTGATGAGGAGGAGAGTCGCTCCCCCTCTGGTAACCCAAACCACAAACTATCTTGGCCTCATTTTCCCCGTACAAAAATTTAAAGATGGTGACTACTTCAATTTGTCTGTTCCCCATCCAGAAACCTCTTTGCTTCTCACTGTGAGAGAAGGAAGTCCAACCCGAGCCAAACCTTCCTCTCCTTTTTCCCATTGAGCTTTCTAGAACACTTGCCCTCAGCTAAGCAATCCGATGGGGGACTCCAGGGCAAAAGAAACCCTGCAGGTCCCCAGAGGGGTGGCTGGGGGAGGGAAGGGGCATGGCCCGGTCTCCTGTTTGCTCAAGGCTGGGCTTGTTCTTGGCCCGCATTTACTCAACCACAAGAAGTAGAAAGGTTACTGTTTAACCCTGAAAGAGCTGAAACTCAGAGGCCAGCCTATCTGCACAGAGGAGGGACTGGCCCTTCAGCCTGGGGTTGGGGGGTGGGGAAGGCTTCCCTGAAATGCTTTCGGAAGGGTTTGCCTGCGGGGCTGTTTCCAAGTGGCCATTCAGTGGGAGCAAGACCAGCCCTGGCCAACCCCCAGCTACTCCTCAGCCAGGGTTTCTGTTCCCCCCCCTTGTTCCCCCAAAACCTAGAAGGCAATTTGATATGAGGGCTAAGCACCTGGCTTTGGATTTGGGTTGAGGTGGGCTCAGATCCTAGGTCCCCTGCTTGCCGTGCATGACGTCGAGCCAGTTCCAAGCCTGTGTAGCCCCAAAAACGTTCTGATCCTCACTTTCCCCAGCTATAAAGTGAGAACAACCCCAAACAACCCCAAAGGGCTGAGAGAATCAAATGAGGTCATGCGTGTGGAAAGCTCAGCAGGTAATGACAAGGAATTCAATAAATGTCACAGGACAGCACGGCCTAGTTCTCCACTTGTGACCAAATGCCCACAAGCCCCTTCCCTTGGGGTAGGTTATCTTCTCTCTCTGTGATCTCCTGAAGGCGTCCAGAACTACTCTCAACCCACAGAGAAGCCTTTAGGACGAGGATGCCCTGGCTGCCCCTTCACCCCGGGCCCCCCAAGAGACTGGCCTGTGCGCATGAGCACTGCTCCCTTCTGGAACCCCCTCTGCTAGAGAAAGCAGCCAGCTAAGCGAGGGGCCCTTTTTTACAGGACACAGTAAATGGTTACTACTCGTAAAAGAGTTTATGTGTCTTAACCCTTACTGAGTCAGAGTTCACTCAAGCTCACTTAGGCTCGTGAGAAAAGAAGGTCAGCGTCTGTAACCGCCATGGCCCTGCACGGCCCGTGACCCGGGGGTGGGCGCAGAAGGCTCGGGGCTAGCGTCGCTGAGAGCCTCTCCCCCAGTCCTACTCCCTGGGAGGCCCAGTTCCTCAGGTGGAAAATGAGGAGACTTGCCCCCCACCGACAGCCTCCCAAGCGTCTTGAGGAGATCAAATGAGATAATAGATAATAAACGTCCCTTGAGAATTGTAAAAAAGCATTATTATAACCAGCTCACCCACACTCCCATATACTAATGTACACTTTCTATGGCGCATAGAGGTTACTTTATGGTGTATAAAAAGCAATCCTTTTAATTACAAGGTAGGGGGATTTTTTTAATGCTCCTCTGTAAGTTTTGCAGTTTACCATCAGCATAGCTTTTATTGTTTCTTGAAGAAAAAGTATCACGTAGATACAGGTAGAGACTTTGGAACCTTTGAGGTCTGGGTTAGAATCCACACTCCCCATCCGTAAGCCGTGTGACCTTGAGTGTGATAACCTTTCCAAACTCAGTTTCATCTCTGGCCTTCAAGGGGGCATGGAAGGGAATGTCGATGTCCTGTTTGAAGGATGAATAACCTACTGGATTTAAAGATGTCTAGTCCAGCACGGCACACATGCCCTCCATCAAAAATCAGTTTCCTTCCCTTTCTTTAAATGCCAATTCTGAAGGTGTTTCCCTGACACAGTTAGCTTCTTCCCAACATTGCAAGAAGTAAATTCAGAGCCTCGGTAAGAATGGTTCCACCTTTTGAGTCAAAAGCAAGCAGAGAAAAGAACCCCCGTCTCTTCATCTCTAGCTAAAGGGGGGATTCTGGCAATGATCCTTGGCCATGTGCTCAGGGTGAGAAGCCGACTTTCTCAGCGTCTGCGAGACTGACGTCCTGGGCTGGGAGGGGTCCGTGGCCGTCCTGGGCATCACAGGACGGTGGCTGCCTCCCTGGACTCTAGACACTATATGCCAGAACCAACCCCCTCCAGGCCCCTCCCCCCGAAACATCCCCTGGGGTCAAATCACCCCCAGTGGCGAACACTGGTTAAAAGAGAGCCTGTGGAGGCCGCAGGCTTTGATCACGCTGGTGTGGTGACCTTGGTTTGTCCCCTAGCTGTTCTGAGCTGCCCATGCCTCTCCTGGGAGACAGGCATGGAATTAGGACCTACCGCAGAGGTTTGCTAGAGGATTAAAAAAGACAAGGAGCTTTAAAATCCCCCAGTGCAGTGCTTGGTACAAATAAAGAGTAATTGCCTCATAAGTGGGGTGAAGAAAATGCACTGGGCACGCGGGCCACCTTTGTCTCTTCCTAGGTGCTGTGCATTCTGGGAATATAGCAGACATTTATTCCAAACCCAAAGTGAAATGAAATGTGGATTATCCAGAGGGTTTTTTTTTTTTTATCTGCATTCTCTTATCCCTCCCTTCATGAGCAGCAACAATCGGAGAGAATGGTATTTGACTCTGCGCCCTCAGTGATTGTTCAGAGTTCCACATTCACCCAGGACATTACCCTCTGCACAGCTCGCTTGCTTGCTTGCTTGCTGCTTGCTTGCTTGCTTTCTTCCTTCCTTCCTTCCTTCCTTCTTTTTTCTTTCTTTTTAAAGATTTTTTTTTATTTTTAAGTGATCTCTACACCCAACACGGGGTTCAAACTCACAACCCCAAGATCAAGAACTGCATGCTCTTCCAACTGAGCCAGCCAGGTGCCCCTACCTACCCAGCGGTTTCTAAGGCTGACCCTTTTGGAGACAGAATCCTGCTCTTTATTTGAAGAGGAGGAGGCATGCATGCTGCCCAGTAGACTATATGGATGCCTACGTCATGCCAGGCTTCCCATCAGGACCTATTCAACCTTAGGCATCAGCACCCCTACACACAATGAGCCGCTAGGGTTTGGCCAATCCCAAATGCATTTCTGCAGAGAGCGCTGCAGTGTGCTGGGGGGGCCACAGCCCGTGTTCTGGGGGGTGAGGGAGGCCACCATCCTCGTGGCCAGTCCTCCTCCAGGCTTCCATCAAAGGCTAAGTTCCTGTCTAGCACCAGCCTGACCACCACGCACAGGGTGGGGGGGCGGGGGCAGGGGGAGCCTAAGGGTTGACGGGGTGGCAGAGCACTTGGCCTGACCCTGAAGTTAAAGAGTCTCACATTTTGGCTACTGCCCAGGGACACAAATGGGAGATGGTGGGGCCTAGCCACAGAATGAATCTCCCTTATATATTCAAGGTGTGAGGAAAGAGCTCCAGACCTAGGCTTGCATTGCTCCGCATCTCAAGAGTGGCTCTTAAGAGGAAGAGCTCATGTCTCCGATGGTAAGGGTTGAAATCTTGATTCTGAACCTCGGCAGGCTGTGTTGACCTCGAGGAAGTACTATTTTCTCTAAAGCTTCAGTTTCCCCATATGACAAAAAGTGGGGGGGGGGGGCACGGAGCTGATACGTGGGGAAAGTGAAAACGTTTGTAAAGTTCTCACATATTAGCTCATACGTGGCGAGTGCCCCCCAAGTGTCAGCTATTATTAGAAGGTCTGCCCATGAGTCTCTCTTTAAAGTGTGTTGGTTAGCTTCGAGGACATTCTTGGGGCCAGGGTAGCCCCTTCGGTGGCAGCAGAGTATAATGGGCCAGGCTCTGGGGCCAGACAAACACGATTCACATCCTGGCTTTGCCAGTTTACTAAGGGGGCAAGTTTGGACAAGTTATTCAGTTTCTCTGGGCCCTAATTTTCTCATTTATAAACTGGAGATGATATGAAAAGGGTTGTTGAAAGACAAAATGAGATGATGCCTGTAAAATCTTTGGAAAAGTGTTTGACACATAGTAAGGACTTGGGATGTTAGTTGGTTTTTATAATTATTATTATTTATTTATTGTGTTATTACTAGGATTTTATTGACTCTCCAAGGACGAAATTGACAGCCAAGTCCATTTCAAACAAGGCCTGGAACTTCTACCCTCTATACAATGGTTTGCAATTCTAGCTTTAGCTGGCACAGTCAAGTCTAGGCTGGATCTCCTGCCTCCCCACCTCCCGTCTGGGGCCGCTGTGTGAAAATGCTATTAGGTTGAGCTATGAACCGCCCCTCTTGGCCCCGGCTCACAGAAGCTGTGCTATGTTCCTCTGGGCATGGTCCCTGCTCAGGGATTAACGGCCATCCCTCCTGCTTCCCTTCCCCTCAGCAGACACACCGTGCTTGGGGCTGCCAGGAGCAGTGGGAGAGCACAGCCCCACAGGTACTGTGTTATGGCCTCCGTGTTGTACTTTCACCTGGTTTGCAGATGCAAAGGACAGCAACACGTCTAAAATGGGGGCTCCTGGCAGAGGGTGGCCAGAGAGCTTCCCTATCTTACAGGCTCCCTTAGCACAAGGAGCACTCAATCACTGCAAAACTGGGATTCGAGCTCACAAGGACAGAAAAGCCATGGGAAGGAGCCACACCTGGGACTCTGGCAGGGAGCTGGAGCTGTGCACCCCAGAACCTAGAAGGCTCTGCCCAGTCTCAGGGCCCCTGACAAGGCCAAAGACTGCTCGATTGCTCTCTCTTCTTAAAAATACAGAGAGAACCTGCCAGAAGAGACAAACACAACCCAGCCTGGGTCAGGCGGGAGGTATGCCTTTTGCTCCGTGGTGGTGCTCCTAAGATGTAGGACTGAATGCTATAAGCTATAAAAATACATACATACATACATACATACATAATAACTATACGGTGGTAGCTAGGGTTTATTGAACATTTAAAATGTGTGAGCTCTGTGCTGATAGTTTTACATGCATTATCTCAGTCAATACCAACAATAGCTCTACAAGGCATGATGTCATTTAACAGATGGCCTATCTGAGGACCAGAGAGGTCAGGTAACTTATTCAAGGTCACACAGCTTTGCAAGAATGGGAGCTAGAAGAGAATTCAAACTCGGACCATCTAGCAACAAACCCTGGGAACTGAGTCACTTTCTGCTGAGAAGGGGGTGCTTTGCCAGAGAACAAAGTCGCCTTCAACTCATCCTCACCCCCATGCCCTTTCCAAACATAGTCACAGCATTGTCCCTGGGCCACCTGGGGCCTCACACCTTTATCAAGCTTCTCCAAGATTATAAAACTCGCTAGTTCATTTATCATGCAGGGACACCGATTGAGCCCCTCTTCCCTCTTTGTCAGATCAACCTGAAGCCATCTCTCCGGGCAATGTAGCAGAGAGATCCTTCAGAATGAAAGAATAGAAAGCTGCTCTCATTTTGCCACCTCACAATATGCGCAGGTAGAAATACGTTAGTGGCTTAAAAGCTGGGCCATGATACTCCTTGAGCCATTAAGGCATAGATCTATGCATAGATATAGTACATGTACACACATATACATATGAACACATATGCCATACTTACACACACACGTACATAACATAAATATTTTTCCTATGACTCAATAAAGTTATTTTATCTTGTATTTTGGAAATAAACTGGCCCATAATTATTTTCTTCATCCGAATTAGACCTCAGGACAGAAAGCCTGGTTTTTGCGGTGAGGGTGAAAATACACTGGGAGCAATCAGGGTCACAGAGTAGATCTTAAGCATTCCCTGTCGCCAGGCCGACGGTCTGTCTTCTTCCCGACTCCTTTATTCATTCAGCCACATCATCCCCGAACTGCCACAGAATTGGCTGCCTTGTGGGTATTTTTACTCCTCAAGCCAGAGGAGCAATTAGGCATTTTAAATAATTACTTTTGTGATGACAGCGATATCCAGACCATTCTCAGGCCTTAATCAAAGTTAGCAGCAGGTGAATTCACAGCATTTGCCCTAAGGACATTGCAACAGCTTCCTGACTTCCTGTTTCAATATGACTGTCATTTCAAAAGAACTACTCCCAGAGAAGAGAAAAGAAAATCCACGTACATGTGAAATTTAACTGGATGTAAGACAGGCGACAATTCTTGTTTTCCAAATGAATCAAAATGTGAATCAAGTTTGGAGAATGTATTTGATCCCCTCGGAATTACATCACAGGTAATTTCATACCCTCATAATGTGTTTTGAAATAGACATTTCATGTTCCCAGGGGCAACATCTGAAGTATTATTCCTGGGCTTTCAAGCATTTTCATGAGTGATAATGCCGTATTGGGAAGCCAAGTGTTGATCCATTATAGATACACTTTACTGACTGTAAGCCATTTGGAAATATACATATTATGCTGATCTTTATCATTCTTGGTGCCAGACAAGATACAGATACTGACAGAGGACAGGCACCAAAGTGGATCAAAAGACAAGATTGCCTTACATGACCTCCTGGGCCTTTATCAATCCCATTCATATGTGGCAAACTAAGGAAAACAGGGCAAGCTTTGAATCTTAAAAGGTCATAGAGCCTTTTGACACTGGGGCTCTCACCTACCAAAAATGCACATTCAGACATACTTTGCTTTGCATATATTTTGTAGGCCCCAGGCCCTCTAAAGACCATCTCTAAAGACCATTGACCCCTACAGATCTATGGACACCATGGATCTTTACGAAATCTCTCTTACACCCACATTGGATTGAAATTTAAAGAAAACTTTGTAGTGGAGTTAGGGTTAGGAGGCGTAAGTTTATTCTGACCTATGAGAGAAAGCCTCAGAGATTTTATTCTTGTCCTCTTCCTTGGCATGGGTGTTGTCTTATTCCCCTATGGTGACACCAGGAAAAGCCCCATTGTCCCTCTCCATTGGCAGCTGGAGTAGGAACCAGGCTGCGACCAGCAGGGCCATTCTGGACCTCTGTTTAGCAATGCAGTAACAAATTCCCCATTTTCCCCACATCAGTATCTGTCTCCCTGCTAATCCACCTTCTCTATTCTAAAACAAAGTAATCATAAAATAGAGAGGGAAATGAATAGCAGAAGAAAAAGAGGCCTCGCTTCCCAGTACACCCATAGGTCTCTATAGGTCTTTGGAAAGGCACAGATATGGAGACTGGAGCATCCAAGACTCCTAGGATGCTTATTTTCCATCCAGGCTGAAGAGGCCATACAGGCGCTTCTCTAAGTTTGATCTATAGACCACCCATATCATCATCATCATCCCCTGAGGAGGAGTTAAACTTCAGTTTTCCTGGGGTCCCACCCCAAATCTCTGAATCAGAATCTTCATTTTCAAGAACCTCCCTTAACTAATCCTCAAGCACTCTCATGGTTGAGAACCTCACCTTCTTGCCTTCCCTCGATGTTCACAATAAGATAACTGACTCCAGGAGATAGTATCCTTGAAGGAAACATCTACAAATGGAAATCCTTGTAAAGTCAGAGACAACACATTCAATCCAGAGAACACACACTCCAAACCATCTGTGGAGACTCTATTACTGTATTATTCGCCAACTTGAAATAAAGCAGTTCCTAGTGCTCAGTACCACCAAATTGTGAAATTCAACAATGCTCAGCTACTCACAAGTACGAGCCTCTGAATGCTGAACAAACAAACCTGGCCTCAGAACACAGCATTTGCCGAGGATTTTTATGACGATCACTTCCATCCAGAGAATCTCGTGGCTGGCTGAGTCACCCCTTACCCAATCCCACCCCCATCTTAGACCTTCAAAAGATGACTTAACCACCCTGGATTTTAGGCCTCATACCCAAGAAAATTGATGTCTTCACCTTCAGTGGAGAGAAAGGGTCATCAGGAAATGCTTGTCTTGCTAATACAAATATTCATTCATCCCCTCCAGTTAATATACATTTATTGAATGTCTACTGGATGCTGGGCACTCTGCTAGCTGCTGCGGACACAATGATGAACAAAACACAGATGCTACTCTGCCCTGATGGAACTATTCAGCAAAGACACCGCCTCCAAAACAATGGTAGCTCTTTGCAAAGCCGTCTGAGCTCATTCCCCACCTCCTGTTGGGGATAGAGGGAAGCCAGCGCAGAGGGAGCCAGGCAGCTTGTTGGCATTTGGAAACAACCAACCTTGGAAAGAACTGCAACTGTGTTGAAAAAGCAGGACCGATCTTCTTCCGTCCGGCAACCCCACGGCCTTGCCTTTACAGGAAACTCTAACTGAGACATCGAGTTGGCAGACAGGATCATGCCCCCGAGTTTCACAAAGTGGCCTCAGCCAAAACCAATCTCCACTCAGGACAGAAGAAAGTAGTTAGTTGTCTGGATGGTTGATGATCTCTCCCTGAGACAATGGCAAGTTTATGTGTGGGAGGGTTAGTTAGGAGCAGGTTGTTAACATAAAACCCACCGTAAACAGAGCTGTTAATTCAGTTGCTGGCAGGGTCTTCTGTTGTCTTCTGAATACCTCCCAGAGGGTGTAAGCCCTACCTTTTCATTTGAGTTGGCAGCAGAGTGATTTTTTTGCACCTGTTGCTCTGCTCCAATAACAACGCAGTTAAGCATTGATTTGTTGGAAAATAAACAGAAAAAAGCAAAGAAAGGCATCTGCCCAAACAGCCTGAGCTGGTTTGACTGAGCATTCATGCCAATTTGTTTTTCCTATAAAAACCAAAGAAAAACCTGTGCTTTCAGTTTGGATGCTACCTTCCCACTCCCTCAGAAGGAAAGGAGGTATCGAATAGACTGGCCAGAGCTGGCAGGGCCAAGAAGCCAGAAGACACTGTACTTTTCCATTGGCTGGCTCTGTGAGGGCACTGAGGGGTGTCCAAGATCTGAAGACTGACATGGCCAGCCTCCAGTCAGCCCAGGTGAAGATCATGAATCAGGTTAACAGGAGCAGAGAAGGGGCTGCCGGGATATGATCAAAACCCAAACCACACTCTTCCCGATGGTTGACTTCCGAAAGTCAACATGGCCCAGGGAGTAGGTGTGATCTAAGGTAACCTAAAGCAGAGACTCAGCGTGCCGAGTCTCAGTCCAGCCTCTCCCACAGACTTCCTACGTCCAGCCCTGGGCAACACGCATAATTTGAAAGCCTCTGGTCCCTGGACCAGTTTTTCCATCAGGGAAACGAAGCTAGCCATACCTACCTTGAAGGTGGGCTGTGTAGACTCACTCATGTTCTGCCAAGTGACTTGAGGTCCCACGTCCCAGGTAGAAAGGACCTGAGATGTTTGGGTTCGGGGTGTGATTTCTGCATTAATTCAAGCATCATTGTACTCCCTTTCTCATCGGTTTGTCAGTATCACATGATGAGATCAAGCCAAAAAGGGCCACAAATGCTAAACAGATCACTCAAATGCAGATCAGAACAACACTAATTAAGCAATGGCATCATCACCCAGCCTTCAATATACACAATCAGAGAAAGCCTCTCAATATTTCTTTTTAAGCCCTGAGAAGAAAGCACAGGACATGGGCAATGTGCGATGTTCCCCTAGATTGCCACCTTCTCCTGGCTTTCTCTCAGCCATCGGGTCTTCATTATCACCAGATCACTGGCTTAATGGGGGGGCGGTCATGGTAGCCAGGGGAGGTCTCAGAAATGCCGCTTCTCAAGGAACGTTAAGAACAGGGTGTTCCGACAGGGGAGGGACATGGCTGGCTAAGCATTCCCCAGCATTCTTGTCATGAGCAGGGCAGGGAGTGGAGTGCCTCAGAACCAAATCGGGCAGCCAGAAAAATAAAAGATTTAACAACATCCTCAGTTGACTGAAAAATAAATTAAGACCAACTGTGCAGGAATGCGGGAAGGGTGGAGAGAGGTAGGAGGTGGGGATTGGAGCCAGGGAGGGGTTGGGATGGACTGGAACAATGGATTTGACCATTTCGAGATTCAAGTTTCTTTCCAGGAAAAAACCAAGATTCTCCAGCCAAAGAAAGATCAATAGCCGCTACATGGATTCTCACAGACTAATTACAAAACAACAACCAAAACTATGACAGTGATGATAGTTTCTATTTATTGAACATCCCCAATGTGCTAGGAAATTAGCTAGGCTTTACATACATGATCTCATTTAATCCTTGCCATAACCCCGGACACTGGTACTAATATTATCCCCATTTTACAGATGAGGCACAAGAGGTTAAACGACTTACCCAGGGACATAGCTAGTAAATGGACTGGATATATTACAATAAATATACTGGAGAGTTGGGAGTGGGTATAAATGACAGGAAATGCAACATCATTCTCTGTAACTGAAAATGGATCCTTGTATTTCTGAAGTGGAAGAGGCTCACTTTTAGAAGCTCACACTTTTGTTTTGGAAATTGAGATCCTTTAAGAATGGCTTCCATCATTTTTCCCTACATGTGAATAGGAGCACACCAATCCTCCTTGTGCCCAACTATAAAACTTCCCTTTAGTGTCCGTCCATCCCAATGCTACAGAAGCAACAGATCATGGCCACTCCAACCCACCTGTCAAAACTTTAGTCTGGCTTCTTGTTGAAAGCCCCACATTGACTCAGGGGCTGGGCTTGGCTGCTTGAAGCCACCTCAGACTTATTAGCCATGATAAAAGAGCAGTAATGATAACAAGGAAAAAAAACTGTTGAGAAGTTAAGGGGAAATTATGGCTCCTTTGGAAGAGCACCTGACGTCTGAGCTGTCACACGTGGAACCTGATGACAGACCCACTGTGTTGTGTTGTAGACATGACACCGACGAGTGAGAGACTGGATGTGTCATTTGGGAGCCTGAATTCCATCACTCTGACCAATACATCTAGGAAAATCCCCGCCCCCAAAACCATGTCCATGACCCTGGAACAGTTTGTAAAAACATAGCTGTAAAATGCAGACAGAACTTCATAAGGCTTTTTCCATGATCATCTTTGAACTTGAGAAGCAACTACTATCTGAATTTCCTCACAGATTAGAGGATCTCCTCTTTAGAAGAAGTAGGGTCTTCTTTTTGCACAGATAGTCGTTAACTGACAATGGGCAAGAAAGCCAAGTTCATTCATATCACCTTCCTATAAGAATGATCGACTCTTGGCACACCCGGTCTCATTTTCCCTTCCAGAACACACTTTGCTCTGCTTCTCCTAGCTCCCTGTCTATGTAGTAAGACCCCTGGAAAATAAAAAATGAAAAAACCCAACAGCAAGATAAGCAACTCCCTACCAGAAAGATTTTCCGAGGAACCAGGTACCTTCCAGCCAGTTATTCAGCCATTCCCCCAGCTGCTTTGGAGGAAAGAAATCTTTGACATTCAAGAAAATCATAAAATTCACCAACTCAGAAACTACAGCATCCCTCTTTGACAGGCCTCAGCTTTCCACCAAAGGTCAGCTAGATGAGTAAGGGGGATCTCCGAGCAGATTCCCGGCTTCCCAGTATCAGGAGTTGTCACACATTACAACAACTTCATTACATCCAGGGACGGACCAAGCTACGTAATTCGAAGGGCTCAGTGCAAAAGGAAAATGCGGGGTGCCATGTTCAAAAGCTATTAAGAATTTGAACACCGTAATAGCAGAGCATAAACCATGCCCAAGACCTTTCTAAGTGTGGAGCCCTGTGTTACCGCACAGGTTGCATACCCAGGACACTGGCCCTGTTCAGGGGGTCAGTCCCATCCTTTGCCTTCACCTGCAGCAACGCTCTATCACCATGGGGAGCAAGGGGGAATCTTTTGTCTTTGCCCCATGAATGACCTCCTGAAGTAGTTGGTAATATTAAACAAAATATGACATTGAACATGCCTGTAATAACACCTGGCTTATAGCAGGCACCCAACAAATGCTAGCTGTTATTACTATTATTATTATCATCATTAATTATTATTAATCATTATCTTCATTACTCCAAGGTCCCTCCACAACTCCAGAGCTATCCATAGGCAAAAACAATGAGTGGGAAGAACATATACGCCTGTTTTGACAGAGACCATCTATTAGCTGACATCATTCAGAAATCATTTCATTGGCCCTGTGCAAGAGAATGATATAAATTAAGGGTTCCTAGACTTTTATTTCCATACATGGACCCATTTTGCAGTCTGGTGAGACCTATGGAGCCCTTCTCAAAATAATGCTTTTAAATGACAAATTAAAATAACAAGATTAGAAAGAAAGTTTATATTGAAATACAATTATCAATATACTTTTTAAAATTAATGTGTGATATCATAATAATATATATGCTTCTTTATTAACGCATTAAATAAGAATATCTAGTGCAGATCGAATAACATCCATGATATCAAAGTAGAGATGAACATCGATATTCTGAGACATCTGCAACAGGTGTAATGTGATATGAAAATGTCTGTTAATCTCTCTCAGTGATGGTCACAGCTAATGCTACTCTAGAGTTTTGCCTACATTTATATTAAAAGAAAATATTAAATTTTAGTTAGATTATTAAGAATAAAAACATCATTCTTTTACACATCCAAGTTCACAAACTCCCTGAATTTTTTCCATGGACACCAGGAGCCTCTTGGATCCCAGGTTAGAATCTTGCTCTTTTATTAACAGCAAGGACTGCTTGTTCAACTCAATAGCTTCTAGAAACCACTTCCACGTGACTACAAGTCACTACAAGACACTATGAGTGTCATTTGAACAATTTACCAAGAGGTAGACCCCACGGTATCTTGGCGATTTTTTTTCAAAGCCTCTAGAACACCGAGGGTAGTAGTCAGTATACATCTGGAGACACTATCAAGAATTTTAGGGGTGGGCAATGGTATATGATGTTGTGGTTAGTCAAGTGAACTGCCTGGAGGGAAATCAGTTTCTTCTGAAAGCCCCTTACATGCCAGGCATCAAAACACATGGATAGGAACATGCTGGGTGCCCACCCCAGGTCTTCCTTGGAACTCCTACGGGCTGTGGTACAGCCAGCTAAAGACAAGCTCAATTTGGAGGTCCCCCATGAACATGGTTGATCCCATGGCCCTGCTGCCCGCCTTCCCTAGTGAAAACCTTATTGCATTTCTTTCCCAAGGTCACAGTGCAGAACTTACGTCGATCACCTTGAAAAACAAAATCCCAGAATTATTCATCCACTCTGACCCAATCGAGGTTCTCTGAGAACAGCCATGTTGAGGACTTACCCTCGATCTCCATTCTACAAATTTCTAATTATTTACTCACAAGCATTTGTCCAGGTATTTTCAGATTTTTTGGTCTCATTTAACCCTGACAACAGCCATGTGCAGATGCTATTAACCTCATTTTCCAGATGAGGAAACTTATAGTCTAGAGCTTACATAACTCACCCAAACACTCAGCTACTCGGT